AGGCCAAAGAACCTACAGGCTCTTTGCAGGTATGTTTGTTTTGGTTTATTCCATTGTTATGCTGCAACTAGACATTTAAGTCTACTCTTTATGGTGCAGTTGTGCATTGAGCACTAAATTCTAAACATTCTCTGACCGAACAACTAAAAATCAGTAACAGCTGTGTTTTGGTCCATTCTGTCCAGCACTGAGAGACGTGACTGGTACCATGTGACAACAGCATCTCTGGTGCTTCAGTGAGCTGGAAACTAAAGTGTCATGAAACCCCCTGTTTCAGCACTGGTCTTTCACACCTTAGATCTGAAAAAAGACTCCAGAAATTGGTGTGTAAAACTGTTGAAAAGTGGGACTGTAGAGGGTGGGAAGCGGTACTTTGATGTCTGCAATCTGCGCAGCGCAAACTGCCAAAACCTGGTTATTTTTGGCAATTTAGAAATCCTGGGCAGAACGTGTCCCCGGGAAGTGGCATGTCTGGTCACCTTAGTTTACAGAGGTGAACTGACAGCATGGAAGCTCTTTCATGAGATTTTAATTCTCTGCTGTAATACAACCTCATGCATAATACAGTGCAGTGATTGGATCATAAGACGACTTTCTCATGAATAATACTGAGAAAAGCTCAGAATACTGATGACGTAAACGCGTACTCTCCAGACACGGCAGCTAATTACCACTCCAAATTAACGCATATATGTCACTTTTCGTGACGTTGGTTCAACTTTGCTTTTTGAACAGGAAGAACGAAATTGCTCAAAAAATGAAAAAATAACCACTTTTCCCTTAATAATTGACATTGACTGCTATTATTGTTTTCACTGATGTGCAACCTGTTCATACGTTAACATCTCAAAAAATGTGTTTTAGGGTTTTGTGACAATTTAACTTGCACATGAATGACACTAATGCCGGGTGCACACCGCATGATTTATAATAGTACTTTACGATTGTTGCTTGTCAGACTGTACGAACATGATGATGTCACACTGTGGGATCTCAGTTGTCATTAAAAGGGATAGTTCACCCAAAAATGAAAATTCTGTTATTAATTACTCACCCTCATGTAGTTCCAAACCCGCAAGACCTTCTTTCATCTTCGGAACACAAATTAAGATATTTTTGATGAAATCTGAGAGCTTTCTGAACCTGCATAGACGGCAACGCAATTGAAATAGTAAGGACATCGTTAAAACTGTTCATGTGACATCAGTGGTTCAATCTTAATTTTACAAAGCTACTAGAATACTTTTTGTGCGCAAAGAAAACAAAAATAACGACTTTATTCAACAGTTCTTCTGAACTGCATTACACGCAGGCCTGAAATGTTGGCTATCATGAAAAGTCTATGAACGCTGGCAAAACTGGTGTATTTAAGACGATAGTGCAAGCAGCACTACACACCAACATGAAAACAGCGGCGCAACCGGTGTTTATCATAGCAAAGGAAACATATCATATGAATTCCGTGAGCGGGGAACGGGAGCGCCTGAGTTTATGCTGTTAGAAGAAATCTCTAGCATTAATTATCATGGCTTGTCTTGAAAAACGAAGACTGTTTGACATTCATCGTAGGTGAAGTTGCACTGCAGCGCAGTGCGCCAAATCTTCTGACACTGCCAGAATTTGTCTGAGGTAAAATTTGATCGCATTAATTGGATGTCGGTGAACACGTCAAACTAACAATCAAAGACTACAGATTTTAGTCTTGGAGGAATCTTTTAGGATTTGAGACAATTGTTTCAGATGGCCAAATCTGGGCTAAAATCGTACAGTGTGTGCCCGGCTTCAACTTTACTTGATCTGTTTTCAGATCTTAGATTGCTAAGAATGAAAAAAGTTCTGCTGAGTCACAGGCATAACTACATTTGAAGAAATGGGGCAAAGACATCAAGGCTTGTTTGCTATGAGCTTCTGTACACACTGATGTTACCTAAGAATGACCCTCAGCTATACAGCGTGGCGTAAAATCCCCTGCCCGATAATTTGTAATTTGGACCTTTTCCACAGTTAAATACTAATCCTGTTTATATGAGCTTACCTGACGGGCCTGTGCACAAATACTTTTATTATGGCTTCCAGCAAGCTGTCATCAAGACGTACACCTCCATCCTTCCAGCACCTTCCTATTTGTTGACTAGTTAGGCCTAGTCTTTCTCTTCTCTGCCCCCCCCACACGACATACTGACCTGTTTAAACACACATGGCCTTAACTTACAGGGGATGTTCACCTTTTTCCCCACCTCCAGGAGTGAATTGTAGTTTATTTTTCTTTCTGAGGGGAAAAAGTGGCTCCCTGCTTGTCAAAAAGTAGCCTGTCCAGCAACCCCTAGCAACAGTTGCCATACCAGTGAATTTCCCCGAAGCCTATTTTCTGACTGTTTTCCCATGTTTGAACATCTGGTAAGAGTGGAAAATAGAGAGATTATTGTCTCTAAACTTTTCATTTAATCGTCTGTAATATAGCACACATTATATTTCACCTTTCCTTACCGTAAACGTTACTGGCAGCCAAACATTTACTGCAATAAGTGTTGAATGTGTCCTATCAAGTCTGTATTCTGCCAGTTTTCCTGTGCGATTGATATTAGCGCGATATTAGAGACTGCCAATCAACCTAACAACTGTGCTTAAAGTTGTATCACTGTAGTTATTACACTCGCTATATATTACAATTATTTTTGCTATAATTATGTAGTAATGCCTGTTTTTTTTTTGTTTTTTTTATGCTTTACGAGTGAAATGCTTCTAATACATTTTTCTCTATTTGGGACTCTGTAGATTCAAAACAGATGATTCATAAGTGTTACATAATGTGAAGCCGTTTTGCATTGAATCCAAACTTAAGTCAAAAACAACAGTCAAAGGAAAAATAATAGTCAGAAATGTGATCTGGATTCATTATTAAAAAGCCAATATATGCACACCTGTGACCGCACAAGTTGAATTGTGTAACGCTGAAGGTTGCAACATTGTTTAGCTACTGTAAACAACTAAACTTCTGCTGCCTCTTGATTTGTTTTGGACACATCTGGCACTGTATTTTCACACAGCTGCACAGAAATATCTACCATGCTATAGGAGTGGCAGCAAAATCTATTGGTGTGAATTTGAGTTTTGTAATGCTGAGTCCTTTGTGTTTTCCCGCAGTCGTCTATCACCATGGGAACAGTGCCACGGGTGGCCACTACACTACAGATGTCTTCCACATCGGTCTGAACGGCTGGCTGCGCATTGATGACCAGGTGGTGAAGATCATCAATCAGCATCAGGTGGTGAAGCAGACTGCAGAGCGCACTGCCTACCTGCTGTACTACCGTCGCGTGGATCTGCTGTAGAAACCATGCTTGTACACACAAACACTCTCTCTCTCACACACACACACACACACACACACACACACGTACATTTAAACACGTTTACATGCAGACATGCACACAATCTCACACACACACAACCACGTGTCTCAACAGGAACACTGCCCAACTTCACGATTGTCCTTTTTCCCTCAACCCTGCTATTCCAGAGAGCCAGCTTTTCCAACTTTTTTTTTTTCTTTGTCTTTTTTTTTGGAAGAGGAAAAGACATCAGTCGTATCTAAAGACTTTCCTGTTAAAGTGTTTTCCCCCTCCGACCGACCTGAATCACTGCAAACGTCCGCAGCTTCACGTTTGACTGGCCAGAGTGGATCCCAACTGAAAGAACTCAAACCAGTTGAGGCTGATGGACTGCTGGAGAAAATCATTCTTTTTCTTTGTCTGTTTTTGTTTAATCTACTTTTTTAAATGGCATAGGAGAAAATATGAAGTGTTTTGCCTTTTAGCAAGAGGAGATGTCGGCCTAATTTTTAGCAGTTAAGTGGAGCCTGTTAAATTCTTGACTAGAGCATCAAAGTGGCCCAACACCAGCAAACTGCCAAAATTTGTGTAGATCTCAATGTAGGAGTTTGTCGCCTCCCCAAGAAAGACACTCCAACTCCACCAACACCACCACAACCTCTTCTCTCCCCCATTTCTCTGCTTCAGATCTAGATTACACTTGAGTCATGGGAAAAACAAAGATAGCGGTTGGGAGAAAGAGTGCTGCAGTGTGCTGAAATGGTAAAAAGCAAAACAAGAAAGAAAAAAAAAAGAACAAAAAAAACTAAAATTGGCTTCTTGGTTTGAGACCTTCAGTGTGATTTTTGGGTGTAGGATTAGAATGACTATCTTAAAATTTTAATGTGCTTTAGGACATAAATGATTACAAAAGCTTTGTGCACGTTAAAATATAAAACCGGACGATTTAAAAAAGGCAGATGTGCGTCGTTTGCACGTTTCTTGCAGATATTTAAGTTTTAAAGGTATTAAAAGCAAAAATCTGAAACTTAGCGGTGGTCCCCTTGATCCGGGGGG